CTAACAAATTGTGTGGGCCCGTTACCCCTTTCGCCCGTAGCGACACCCTGTATTTCTCTTTTTAAACGAACATTTTCATTTCTAAAATTGTTTTCTTTATACGTATAAATCACTACCAAATAATTTGTGCCCATAGGTTTTTTTTTTTTTTTTTTAAATATATCTTAATCAAAATTACATAAGAAAGCATAACCCTCTTTTATTTTCAAATTTTTTTTACTTGATTTAAAATTTCAACTTGAAATCTCTAATTTAAAATTTTAAAATTTTAACTGTTGAGTTAATCTGTTTGGAGTTAAAATATGAGTCCATGAATCTTGATTTAGCAGCTTTCTTGAATGCAAACTTTTTCCTTAGGTGAAAACATATCATTTCAATAAACTCTCTTGCCTCATTTTTAATTATTTTAATTTGATTTTTAAAACTTTTAAATATAAATTTTAAATATAAATTTAATATATTATATAAATAGTAGTTAAATTAAAAGTATTAAAAATAAATAGGAGTACTTTTGATGGATTATATAATAGGAATAATAATATTTTTTTTATTATAAATAGTTAAGTTTTATTATATTTTTTTACATAAAAAAGACAATTATCTTTTAAAAATATGATAAAAATGGATAAATCTCTATCATTTATAATCAAAAATAAATTATAAAAATTTTATACAAGAGTGGTGTGCAAATAGATTTTACTTTAATTTCTCCATTCCACTTTAATAAACCTTTTTTTTTTGTCCAGTAAAATAAAAGATGTAGCAATTAATTAAAAAAAATTTCATATCTATCCATAATTAATCACTACTTAAATAAACCTTCTTATTTAATACTTTATGTTGTAATTATCCTTTTAAAATCAGGGTAAATAAAAATAAATATGTTAAGAGTTTGTTTAACTTTTGACCCAAGAGCACATATTAAAATTTATTAATCACAAAATTTGTAATTAATTTTGCATAAATTTTCATATTAGATTTATATTTTTTTTATAGATTTTAAATATAAATATTTTATTTTATTTTAATTTTACATTTTATATTTTATTTAAATTGAATCTAGTATAAAAATTTATACAAAATTAATTAAAAATACTGTATTTAATGAAATTTAACATGTACCACAAACGCATAAGTTAAAAAATTCCATACATTAAATGATATCCTAAAAAAAAAATCACTAAATTTAAACACCCCAAATTAAAAATTAAATATGCTAAAATTGAACAAATGGGGTAGCTCGAACAATGGTGCAAACAAATATACAAATTTTATTATTATTTTTATTTAAATATGTAAATTTTATCAGTTTCTAAATAAAATAATAAACTTTTAATTTTAAACTTTTTTCTATTTAAATATTTCAATTTTTTTCTATTTAAAGACTAATTGAAAAGTGATGTTGATATATCAAATGGGTTTTTTAATTATCCAATTAATCTTAAATAGAAAAAATATATAAAATTATTATATTTAAATAAAAAATAACAAATTTTATATTATTAGCTGTACCTTCTCTTAAAATAACTCTCATTGTTAATTTCCTTTCCATTCTCGTCAAGATTCATATTTAAAAATTTTAATTTAAACAAGAAATACCAATTCACGGTATAACTAGCAAAACAATACTACTAAATTGTTTAATTATTCATTATTTCTAAACATCATATTGATTAAGAAATTTTGTTTCTTATATGGACAGTCATTGTTGAAGAAGTTTTACTGTACAATAAACAAACAAAGAAGCAAAAACCAAAATTCAAGTTGAATTTTATATAGGTTAAATGTAAATTTTGGGTCCCTCAACTTTAGAGTTTTACATAGTTTTGGTCTCTTAACTTTTTTATAAATTTTTTTGTTTCTCAACTATGAAACATGTATTTTTTAATCTTTTTATCAGTTAGTTTATTAAATTTGTCTATGTGTGTATATTTTTAATTCCCTAACTTTATAATTTTTCATAATTTTTATCCTTCAACTTAAAATTTATAGACTAAAAATATACATATATAAATATACTTAGTAAACTAACTAATTAACAAAATGACTAAAAAAATACATTTTTATAGTTGAGAAATCAAAATAGTATATAAAAAAATTAAGGGATTAAAACTATACAAAAATTCAAAGTTAGAAAACCAAAATTGACATTTAACCTTTTTATATGAAACAATTTAAAAAACAAATTATTTGGATTAGGTATATCCTAACACATAAACAAATGTAAAGCAAAATTTGGAATTACTTTATAATTAAAGTCTTCTTGAGGCCAACAATTTTTTTTATTGACGGAGTCGATCCCTTCGACGATCATTGCCAAAAATCAAACAGCATGATTTCATCCCTTTTTGAGTAGAACTAAAATCAGTGTACCAAAATGAAAAACATACTTTAACATAATAATACGTTTGCCTTTGACTATTAATTTTATAATTTAATATAGTAATACAAAAATCCAGAAATTTCAATGTAAAACTACAG